CCCCCCCCCCTAAGATATCTGGGTACCTAAGATACCTAAGATATCTGGAGGGCCAAATATTCTTCACCTCAAGTTAATTTTGCAGACAATTTCAACCTGGAATTTCTATTTAATCCTACAAATTTAATCTCACAGTTTATAAAGTGATTATCAGTGTGATCATATGTCGATTGCAACATAATTTCTCCTAGCATTCCCCACCTCTGTTGTCTTCCCATTGCTTAATTCAGATTGCTTAAATTAGAATGTTTCCTTTCATTTTTTGTTTCATTTCTTTCTTCGCTTATGCAACTCTTAGTTTTCTTTGGTTTCATAGCATATGATGTAGCTCCATATTATTATTAAATAAATCAAATATATTATTATGATTTTCCCTTGGCATCCTACAAATTCTCTGTGTAGGAATTTTGTAATAAGTGAAGTAGCCTTTCTGTAAAGAAAAAAAATGCAATTAGTGGAACATAATTTTATATGAATATATCTAATATTAAACGATGATAAAACAAATAACCATTCTAGTGTGAACTTACAACCCCCACTTCCAAAAACAAAAAAGGCAAAATATTTTTACAAATCACCGCATAGTTCCCATGTGGAAGTTTTGTCAGAGAGAGAGAGAGAGAGAGATGTTTTGCTTTCTTGTTAAGAACAATATGCCAGTTTCCTTTGTTCGCAGAGATATTTTTCTTGTGAAACCAATGTTGCATAAGTAGAAATTATTCCTGGGAAACAAGCATGGATATGCAGGTTTGGATTTTTTAAAAAAATGTGTTGTTACATGACACTACAATTCCTGAAACTGTTGGCCTATTTGAAGTCAGTATGTGCAGTTTTGAAGTAAATGTATTCTCTCTTAACATACTTTCTCCCCATTGATGGATTGGGTTGCATAAGATGGTTTACTCAGAGGTTTTATGTTGCTTAAAGTCTGTGTATCTTTTTACATCACCAAACCTCACAACAAAAAGGAGAGATTTTTTTTCTGGGTAGTCAGGGACTTATAATAACACAAAAAGCAGCAAGCTGTTCCAAGTGCTGTCTTTGAAGAAGTGCCTTGTGTATCCTGTGAGAACCAGTTGGTGTAAATGTTCATTTACCTCAAATGTTTACAAAACTGTTACTAAATAAACTTTTGTACCATAATTTGTCTCTCATAAATGAAAGTTAACAAAGGCATGTATAAGCACTGCATGGTACTTGGTTTTGTGTTTCTTCTTTCTTTCTCTTCTTTATTAGAGCGGCAGTATCAATGTACATGATCTTTCACACTATATACAAAAAAGGGACAAACTGTTGATCTGGAAGACAAAAACCAAACCAAATTACACAAAACAGTATTTTCATCTAAATATTGGAAAGAATTTTTTCACAGTATAAATTGTCTGGCAAGTGGAACAGACTGCCTCAGAAGATGGTGAACTTGGCTTTGTTCAAGGTTTTTAAGCAGATGGCCACCTGTAGTAAGTATAAGTTGTACTCCATGACTTTGGAGTACCATCCAGCTCTATGATTCTTCTAATATGCTTTCCACTGTAGGTCAGTCCAGCAGATCATTTGTCCAGCACAAACAATCTGCTTACAGTAGGCAAGGTAAAGAGCAGCTGCCTCCAAAATCCCTTACTGGGCATATGTAAACTTTCAACTTTCTGAGTCCTTGAAATATTGACCCACAAAGACAAATGTTGTGAAAGCAAACTAATGCATAACTTTTGGATATGTTCTATCCTATATAACTAAGCAGATGGAAGAAAGGGTTAATTTCCGGTGTAGCTTAGATTTTCTTCTCAACCCAACCAAGTACAAAAAGTATGAGTCTCTTTAGTTTTCATTAGCTTGTCTAATTTTTCTATAATGAACATTCCCTCTGTTGGGAACGTCATATCCTAATGTCACAAATTACACAGAAGTTTTTTGTTGTCTTTTTAAAGTGAACTACACAGTTCTATAGGATCATCTTTTCTGATATAATGAAGATCTGCAACAAACATATTTTGATTAGGTAAAAAGTAGGCTTCAGGGGGAGTATTTATCATAACATCATCTTTCCTTGTTGATGGATTTGGGAGGTTGTCAGATAATGTGGTCTCCCATTTCTGTTCTTCCCACTATGGATCCCCATCAATTTTTATATATTTTCCCTCACCAGACAATGCATCAAGGAGGAAGATGGAATAACTGTACAATATCTTTTGATTAGTAACATTAGAAGCCTCTCTCTCTGGAGGTATCAAAAAATTCAAGGCCTTCAAAGTGACGTTCAGTGCATCTTTCTAAATAAGAAAATACAGCACAGACAGAGGAAAATACAGGAGCTCTGCCTTGATGAGCTCATGTTCCATAGTTTAAAACAATCAAATAGTATCAAAGCAGAAATAATGTCTCGCTTTTTCAGCAAAGACTAAAGGCAAATACGTCTGAATTGCCGGATACCTCAAAGCAGCAGTATATTGTTTTCTTCCTATGGCTTACATGATGCTTTTTTTGTGGACTGCATTTTACAAACTGCAGACCTAAGCAAACAGGATGGGCTGAGCAAAATAAACTATGGCTCAACTGGGGATCATCTGGGGAGAGCCAGAATTGTGAAAAGTTGTGGGAAATGACAAGTTAGCTGAACTGAAAATATTGGTGTTAGCTAGGTATTTTCATAAGTTATGTGAATTAAGAACCACGCTAAATTAAAACCAGTATGCTACATTCTTCTCAAAGCAACATTAAATAATTACATGATTCCACCTCTCCTGGCAAAACAAATTTCCTTCATTCTGAGAATGTTCTGCCTTCATCCCCTCAGTCTGTGTTTCAAAATATTCATGCATTTGAATTGTAAATGCAGTCATGAAGACAGAAAGACCCAGGAACATTAATGACCACAGGCCTGAGTTGGCATGGAAAAGTCTTACACTTTGATAGGCTTGATGCCTTAGCATATTACCCAAAGTTCAGGAAGTTGCTTGCGCAGAAACGGCATGATATATGACATTTTATGCAACATATTTTAACTTTCCAGTATCTCATATAAAGCTCACAATGTCAAACATTTCCACCACGGACTGGAATACAGAATTCATTGATTTGGACAAAATATTTGGGTCGAATGTTAAGGAGACAGATGGCATAGTCACAGCCTAAGTTATCTATGCCTATTTAAAGTATTAAAACATATGTTTCAAATATTTTTCCTACCATCTCCCATTTCAAAGATCCTTTCCAGAAAGCAATTCTATTTTCTCACTCCATGTCATGTTAATGTGTTTACATTTTAAACCAGTTTCCATTCAAAACCTGCACAAACAGTAATGTTTCTATTTACTGTTTGTGCAGGTTTTGAATGGAAACTAGTTAGTTGCCAGACAAGTACAATTTAATTTTTCCATCAATTTTCCAGAGTTCAGTTTCTGTAATAGGTGATCTATCACCTTTACCCCCTCTTAAATTTTTGGCTCTCTTTAAGTTAGTGTGGGGAAGGTCTGGCCTTCTAGATGCTGTTGAACTGCAGATCCCATCTGTAGTAGCCAGTGGTATAGGATAATAGGAGCTACAGGTTGGGGGAAAGCCTGCTCTGAAGGGAAGCCTGTAGCCCTCCAGATGTTGTAAGATTACCACTCTCATCATCTGTAACCAGTAACCATACAAGCTGGATCTGATGGGAGATGGAGTGCAACAGCATCTGGAAGAGCACATGTTGCCTTCTCATGTACTAAACAATTAGACCAATGCAAGGTGGACATATTCTTTGCTCATGAGCTTTAAGCTTTCACATGTAAAGCAGGGGGGAAAGCTATTTATTTTTTTTAAATCAATAGGGGCACACAGATAGGAAACCAGATCTGTTTATAGCTGCCCCAACCCAATCACATCTTGTTGGAACCTAATTCTTCTTTTTAAAAAAGTTTATTATAGTTTTCCAAGTGTGTTTTATTATATTCAGAGGTCTAATCTTGCTGGCATTGATTATGTCAACAGGCATTAATAATATATATATTTTTAAAAATCAGTATGCTAACTTCCTTTCAAATAAGGTTGACATTTTTTTCTTCTGGACCAGTTCTTTTGTCTTGAGGAACTATCCTTCATGCACAGGTTTAGGAGTGTATACTTGTAATCAAGACAGGACCTCTACCTTAAAGTTAGTTCACCCTTGGGGAAATAAATATTAGCTCGACGTATTGACTGGGTTTCGCAGCCCTGGGATCATGCCTGTGTATAACAAAGTTGAAGGCAAGAGGTACCACAGAGGCAAATCCTCAATG